CAGTAAACAGAAATAGCTCTCTAAAAACAAAGGGAGACCACTCTTGATTATTTATAACAATCATATCAACACCGAAGGATGAAAAAATGAAAAGATGAATTAATGCATAAAATGGTGATACTCGTGGAATTATGAGACGTTTATTTTGTAAAAACCTTAATTTAAAATGTACTTAGAGTTTTCGTTAATTACATACTAGTTTCTATATTTATTTATTTATTTACAAACAATTATAATATAAATTATATTTATTTACAAACAATTATAATATAAATTATATTAATAAGAAGTAATTGATGTTAACAGCCGCCTTTGGTGGCCTTTAGGTGTATATGTATTGCGGTTTCTACTTTTCTTAAACACAGAGAGAGAGGTAAACTGAAACGAGAAACGAAAGAAAATAGAGATACACTAATGAAGTATAGCAAGAAGACAAAGACAATGAAAAATAGAGAAACAACGAGTTTGGAGTGGGGAAGAAGCGAAGAGAATAAACATAAAGAAAATAAAATGGAAGAAAATCGGAGGAAAAAAAAAAGAAAGAAAACTTCTGCACAGCTCAGAAGAGAGAAATCAGAGGTTCAAAATAAATGACGTCACCACTTTTGGTGTCCTGGCTTTTATCCTGACAATCTGCAGTTGATGTGAGATTTGTAAGCTGTCTGTCAACTCTTGTTGATTCCAAACGATACAGACATTCAACTCTAGCTTCTTATCAGGAGTTCAACTAATCCCGAAAGACCTTGTTGCAGTCAACGTGGACAGCTAAGGGTTGACACATGCTTTAAAAATGTAAATAAATCAAAATTGTCGTTTTCTTTGAGTTTTCTTTTTTTCTTTTTTTTTTAAAGTAAAATGAAAAGAAAAAGTAAGACGAAGCAAATTTAACGTTGTTTCTTGATTTTTTAAATTTATTTTCAAAATGTTTATATTTTTTACTTAGACAGGAACGAAAGAAATATGTTTAGTGTTACTGTTTTCCTGTTCATTTTCCATTGACAGTTTCCCAGTGTAGCTAACCAGTTAGCTATTATCAGTTGCATCTACACGCTGCAATGTTGAACGCTATGTTAATGTATCCCCGTTTCAAATGTTTATGTGTAGCGAGGAAGTACTGTTATTAGCGCCCTTTGTTAAGACACAAAGGCATTGACCATGTGAAATACCAATGAAATTAAGTAATGTCATTGTAATAACAAAAGTACGCTGGTTTAGGCTTTAAGAAAGCCTACACCTGCGTGTACAGATAAATCTTCCAAGATAAATCTTCACGAGTGAAGATTTATCTTGGAAGAGGTATGAATCCATCTCCTTTCCTCCAGCTATGGGTTAAATAACAGGACTTGCATTTGTAAAAATCATTGTTATTCTCAAAAGATTGTTAATACAATATTCGCTCAAAAAAGAATTATCCTTACAATCCAATATATGTTTCGGCTTTAAATAACATATAAAAGGTTGATAATCCATACAAACCATTTCAATCAATAAATAATTCTACCGTTATCTATACATTGCTGCTCACACCATAAGCCATTTGATTTTTTTCTACTTAAAACAACAACAAAAATATAAAAAAGAAAAAAGACAATGAAGTTATTCATTGAAATACCTGAACTAGAATTTGCAAAGTATTTTATTTTCGATATACAATTGATAAGTTGATTATATATTACTGTTAGTGTATGAATTTATACTGAAAGAAGCATTATTATGTAAGACATCATATTACAGCACGTACACAAATTTTACATCGACAAATCATCAAAAGTTTAAAAGCTGAAGTCAAATTTTAATCTGAAAATAATTTTAAAATTCATTCATCCATTGATTTTCATGATCTTCATTGGAATCGGAAAGCACAATATTCAAAATAGCATTTCAATGTTTTTTTTCTGATAAATTGACGCTCTGCCAATGTAAACCTTCCTCTTTATATTTCTCTACAGCTTTTCACTCGGGTTAAGATCGTGCGAAGAAAACAACCACTTCATCAACACCTATTTTATTCAGGTATTCGTTAGTTTTCTTCACCGAACGTGGAACATTGTCGTGGATAACACCATTTGCTTTATGGGAGCGGCTAGCTTCTTTCTGAAACATAGATACATGTGTGTCTTCAAAAATTCTGTTTGCCTCAGCTATCATCTTAACACTATCTAGAACTCGTCACCTGCCTACCATTTCGTCCCCCTATAATTCCGGCTTAGAACAAACTACATTTTGTTGATGTCTCAGCCAGTGAGAACGATTTCGGCTCGTAGTCAACCAGCCTTTGCACCATCAGTCTAGTCTAGTATCAGTAACACGGTGTTCATCAGTGAAACGAACAGCTGTAAAGATTTATTGCTCATTTCATTCGATTTTTGTATTCTAAAAGAAACCTATTTATCAATCTCACATTTGATTTAACCTTTCGGCATTTTGCGCATTTTTGACACTTCTCCGTTGTCACAACGCCTCAAAGTTTCATAGCTTAACAAAAATGAATTTTATAGCATCTCTCTTGATAAGGGAATGTGATAAGAGATATAAACTCCCCAAATTTCCCTTATCATACATGCATCAGAGTTATTCAGGATCCTAAACGAACTTCTGGGATACTTGTTGATCCCTTCCAAATTTCCATCGTTATTCTACATTTTCTAATCTCTAAAGTTATCAAACATTCTTTTTATTCGTAAAATCAGCTGGGTCTGTCTATATTTCTGAGATGAGGTATTATGTACAGTATTTACATTACAAACAAGTAGCGGAACTAGAACAGTGATCGGAATAAAGCGTTCAGTTCGAAATTCCAACCACCTGAAGAAGGCCGGAGCGTACAACGGCCGAAACGTTGTGACAAATATGGCGACAAAGATGAGGACAATAGTCCGACTAATGTAAATACTGTAAAATCAGCTTTATGATTCATTTTACTTTCAAACTCGCTAAGAGCCTATTAGAAGCTTTGGAATTCAAGATATTTCAAATAAATATTCAGTGTTTACATTAAACTCTATCTTATCCAAATCGAAAGTGGTTACTCCACAAATTATATTTTTTTTATTCATATCACCCCAAGTAAGGCAATAAAACCATTAAGATAAAAGTGGTTACTAAGTGTGAAATAATAAGAAAAAGATAAACATTATTAAGGGACGAGAACACTAAAAGAGGAATCAAGAAGACAGTAGATAACGATTGAGATTGCATTTAAATTGCATAGATCAAAGTTGTTTGGAAAGCATAGAGCCAAAACAGAGTTCCACAGACGAGAAGTGTGAGAAAAAAACTGTTAGCAAAGAACATACGATTTCATCTCATTTAACTGTAAAACGATGAGACTTTGTTGCCAATCTAGTACTGCGTTTAAATTAACAAAGTCTCGGTATCATAGAGCAAAGTTTATTAGAACAAATACCATGAAAGCGTTTATAGAAAAGGCACGAAGAAGCTACATTGCAGCGGTGGGAAAGTGACTGAAGCCGAGATGACGGGTCAGGACCGATAACATTGCAGATTCATTTTTGGATTTTATCTAGAATATAGCAGGAGCACCAGGCTATATATAGTACAATATTCGCAGCATGAACGAATTGCAGACTTATAAATATGAAAGATATATTCTGGAGAGAAAATCTGTCTAGTACGACACAGTAAACCAATTTCCCTAGCGGCATACCTAGCAATTGATTCAATATAGTCTTTCCACTTCCTGTCAGCAGAGAACGTTACCCCCGAGAAGTCACAATGAGTCACTCTCCTGGAGGTTAGCATTAGCCATACTAATGGAAGGCAGAAATAGTTCTCTCAGATAATTAATTAAAAAGCAGTTTTGTTTTAGAGGCGGTTAAAATTAATAAGCCATTTCTTGCTCCTGTTAACAACAGATTTTAGTTCACTTTTGAGTAAACTGAATACTTTATTCCTTACTATTTCTAAGGATCTATTTTGTGCCTCTTTACTTTCAGATATTTAAAGGTGGATTGTCCAGTTATGACTATAAATCTTCCGACAGTCTGATACTGAATGTCATCAAGCATGACAAGATGTTAATCACTTTTTTTAACAGAATGATGTTGAGACGTAATGCTTTTTCCTAAAGTATTTCACCGCATGGGTTAGGGTTTTGAGATAAAAATGTGCACTGAATATGCACAAGTCGGTTCACTTTCTTCTAACAGTTTTCTCAACCTGCTGACACCAGATATACTACAGTAACCACAGTACCAACATGATAGCAAAAAGCTTCCTTTGATCTCTTTATTGGTTGGGTCACAATTTTCTGCGGTAGAAGATGCTTTTGTTTGGTTTGTTTTGTTTTATAGCATATTAACCTCAATAGGTTATTTAATGCCGACAAGATTTTTTATTACTGGTAATATTCTTTTCTTTCAAAAATGTATTACTGGTAAAAAAAATTCCCCCAAAATTATTGCTGGTACTAAAACCTATTTTTTTTTTACTTTCATAGTGTTTTGACCCCTTTTTTGGAGTCTGGGGAAGGATAATTGTTTGCTCATAGCTGAGACCCTGACAGGTGCTGCCACCCCGGGTTAGGGTGGACCTGGGAACACCAGCAATTAAGAGGTAGTTCCACGCTCTTCAAAACCTTCTGATCAAAGGCCTTGCTGTCGGATGTAGTTTATCGTCATACCCAGGACGCAGATGTAGTTTATCGTCTTACCCTGGACGACAGTAAAGGATGTACGGATAGTGTAACGGATATCCGCGCGGGAGGTGGATTAGGCGAATCGAGTTCACATTCCGAGCTAGTCTCTTGCATTCCTTTTTGTGATAGGCATGAACCCGTGATATTTTGGTACACTGTTGTTGTGCATAAAGAGACAGGACAGAAAAAGCTGAAACAAAATAATAAACTTGCTGTTGCAAGTGGAAGAAAAGTTTCTTGTTGAACGACTTTGTTAGATATTTGGAGGCTTTTTGATGAGTTTGATGAATTGGAGACTATTTTATTGGCTATAAATCTATATGCCTATACTCTATTATCTAAGTTGGAAGACCGGTTCCCGTACGATCACCGAAGTTAAGCAACGTCGAGCTCAGACAATACCTAGATGCGTGACCTCTTGGGAATACCAGGTGCTGTAAGTTTAGATGTGCGGGTGGTGTAATCAGTGGCATGTCGATGTTTTGGTCCGGGGAAGGAGGCACGAGCTTGACTCGTCGCCCTCTACCACAACTAGTGGTCAACAAGCCGGCATGGATCAAATACTATTTTTTTTAGAAATATAAATACTTCTCGCGATTATTGACGTGAAATAATTAGAAATGCAAATATAAATACAAGTAATTTTATTCCAGATTCCAAAAATTCAAAAACAAATACTTCTGAAACTACGCAAAATATCAAAATATAAATGCCATGTGTCCTTGAGAACACATGGCAGGGTGGATAAAGGCGTTAGTTGGATCCAGTGACGAACGTTAGTTGGATCCCAAACAGTGTGAGTTCAATACCCTGTCAAGGCAGTGGAGAACTTACAGCGGGGAATTAACAGGAGATAACTGATAACTGACATCCATTAAACATGGCACGTGGAACTAGAACAGTCTACCCGAGTGAGCGAAATAAAGGGTTCAGTTCGACATTCCAACCACCTGAAGAAGGCCGGAGATATAATGGCCGAAACGTTGTAATAAATATGGCGACAAAGATGAGGACAATAGTCCGAATAATGTAAATAGTGTATAAATGCTTTTTCACACAAATATAAATGCTCTGAAAAAGTATTTAAATACTTTTCAAATATCTTTTGATTTGATCAGCAAATATAACAACAAGCACTGTGCATTGATAAATCCGACAGCAAGGCCTTTGATCAGAAGGTTTTGAGGAGCCTGGAACTACCTCTTAACTGCTGGTGTCCCCAGGTCTACCCATTGACAAAACCTGAATGAAAAGATATCAAGACTAGAGCAAATCATTTGAATTCGTAAATACGCGACATGCGACCAGGTAAAAATTTGTCAATAACACCATTCACATTTAAATATCCAAATTCTTCATTTTCGATGCTTAATAAAGCCAAATTGCTTAGGCGTCCTGACCCATTGTGCTTCGGAAATAGTTTTTTTTTTTTATTAATCTTAATTTGCTGAAAGATCGCTCACAAGACGCCACATTGACAGCAACAATCAACAGTATGCGCAATGCTATTTGTAAATTGGGGAACACATCATCGCCGTAAGATATTGAAAAGCTCGATTAGGTTTTTTGGTTTAATGGCGGCACTTTCTTTTCTTTTTTGTATTAAAATTCAGCTATCTGTAATTTCGCGACTGAGTTTTATTCCATGAAAATCACCCTCGTATGCTGCAGCAGCTACTTTGCATTTTTTTTCTACTGTGTCTTCGTTCGAGTCATCGTTTGATTCGGAGTCAATGAAGCTTTCAGTATCCAAGAAGAACCCAAATTGCACATGTAACTGACTCAGCCTTATAAATCGATCTTTCAGTTCTCTATTCAACATGTCCGGTACTGCCTTCAAGGTAACATACATTTCTTCTTTCACATTTAGAGGCTCATCTTTCGTCTCCTCTCTAGCCATTATGTTTTTACGACGCACCTTTCCCTGTTGACCAACGTCAATACCCCATTCTAAGCATTTCTGCTGGCCTTTTGCAAATGAATTTTTACAGAGAGAATCCCGTTCACTCATAACAAATTGTTGCAGACTTTAAATGTCAGCTCGAGCTTCATTGAAGTTCATTCTAAGGCACTGAAGTCTTTTCTGTACTCGGTCGATGGAAGCCAGGACGTCGTCCCAGTACGGCAGCTTAGAAAGCTGAAAGTTTGCATGTTGTGCAGCAAGCAGCTGGCGTCGCTTCTTGTATCGACTGATAATGAAGTGTCACTTGCCATATCCTCCAACGATTTAGCCATGTCATCCATCTTCGTTTTTACAACTTGAAGAGCATCGCGCCTAGTAGTCCATCTTGTATCAGGGGCCCTTTTTACAGTTTCCTTCAATTTCTCCCAACTCATTGTTGAACTGAAGAAAAAAAAAAGTACAATGAATCAAGAACTCAAAAAAAATGATATAACAAACATGTTCTGGTGCCGCATGCACTCCTACGAGTTTCAAAGAATGGTTGACACAATTCACAAAGATTGCTTTTGGGTTTCTCTGTGGTATGCGTTTCTGGACATCGGACACCTTCCCAGCCATTGTTGCAGCCTTGTCATACCTCTGTCCACGACAATCGTTCAAATCAAGACCATCTCGTGCCAATTTTGAGGTACTTTCTTTTGTAACACTCTTGGCGTCTTTTTCATGAATTTTAATAAAATCAGTGGACACTTCCTTGATTACAGCAATTTTAGATTCGTTGTCAACATCGACAAACCTGAGAATTTCAGGCATTTGTTCGTTGTGAGAAATGTCAGGAGTTGTGTCGAACATAATCCCATAGTATCTGCTTCCTTTTGACTCTCTCTATAATAGACTGACGTACTTCGTTACCCAGTAGGTCAATGAACTCATTCTGTATCTTGCCAGAGAAAAATGTTGCAGAATGTGGATGTGACTTGGAATAATTCAAGGGACACTACAACAGAGTGTCGTACTTGCTAAGTTGCTTAACGAGTGAAAGAAAATTACCGGGATTATTACTTGATGCAATGACTTCTCGGTGTCCACGAAATGCCAGATGTTGAATCGCCAAAAACTTGATACAATCCACAAAACGCAGGAGCAGATCCTTCCACAATTGCTTCTCTTCCTTTATATGCTTCATTATTACTCTGTCAATCGTATACCCTTCTGATATGCGTCTCTCAAAATATTTCCATTCAAGAAATGACGCACGGTGATAAGTTCCCTGTTCATGTTCTGATACTCTTTCGTTGCATTTTTTCCATTTTTGAAATTCACGAGATTTTTCAAATACCGTGCTTTGATTGACTGGGGCTGTTGAAAACAATAAACAGCAAAAACAATACACTGAATCTTTTTTTAATAGAGTACAACAACAAATTACATGGAATCGTAGACTCATCCTGTAGTTTTCTTTGAAACCAGTAATTCGTGAACCTGTGGTTGACACCCACATGATTTATGCTCATTTCACTTCTCATCGCTTCTTCGGCTCTGAATAACTTCCCGATCTTTTATTACTTTGACAGGGCCGATTTGTTCTGAAAAAGCTTTTTCACCCATCTTCACTATTTGTATGCATAGATCATCAAAAATTTGTGGATTATCAAAAATTAAGCAACCTGCATCTTTCTTGGTTAATACTGCTGTTGTGGTGCCCTCCCTCTAATGAGTCTATTGTGGACTCTTCCACTTACTATAGAATTAGAAAGAAAAGTAAACCTTGGGGGAACAGTGATATAGACTGAACGCTGGTCAACCGACACACACACCCAAGTCGTGTAACACTCTTCTGTTGTATTCGCTGTTCAATACACGATTTATCTGCAACCTTTTGTTTTGTTATTTCTTAACCAATTACTTGGTCACAACAACTGCATATTTAGTTTCGTCATATTGTGCATGTTCATCAGATTGACAACGAAACAAAGATGAAGGCTAATCGAAAGCATTTAATAAAAATGTTTGCTTTGCTTTGAATTGTAGAGGTGGTGGTACTAAAGCTGCTGTTGGTACTGGCAGCACTGGTGAAGATGGTAATTGCTCTACTGACCCTGGTGCTATGGCTGTGTCGTCAGAGCCAGTGGCAAGAACAAGCGGTGAAACAACGGGATTGTCACCATCTCCATCTGGACGTGACATTTTAGAGACTTCTTCAAAACTTGACTGAATTTCTGTAGATCTTCGTGTTCTCTTTTCTCACGATTTCTCCCTTCCGCACCAAATTATTTCTTTTGTTGCCCATATCACTCCATTCTTCTTATTTCTCACTCAGTTGTATAAAGAACGTGAGACTAGTGTGTCACATGTGGGTGTTTATTGTCAACTTAACGACATCACCATGGAGCCTTAGCGCGTTGACGCCATAACTCCGTGACACCGTTCCACCGTAAATAACACTGACAGCACCATTGTGAAGACTAAAATTATGAAAATGTTATTCCTACCAAATCCAAGTTCTTGTGCCAAACATACAAACTTAGTAGAAATAGCAAGACATAATAATAGGCGCAAATCTACAAAACAAGACAAGAATTGCATAAAATTTCAAAAGGAAAAAAAACATTTATTTACACAATTACGAAAAAAGGTACAAAGTTTCACAAAAACTTACTTTTGTGTGCCTATTGCAGCAGAGTAAGACATTTTCTGAAGTTACATAAAAGGATTACCATCAGGCACAAGGCGTCCTGGGTATGACGATAAACTACATCCGCGTCCTGGATAAGACGATAAACTACGTCCAACAGCAAGGCCTCTGATCAGGAGGCTTTGAGGAGAGTGGAACCACCTCTTAATTGCTGGTGTTCCCAGGTCTACCCTGACCCCGGGGTGGTAGCACTTTTTAGGGTCCCAGCTAAGGGCAAATACTTAATCCCGAAACTGAGGTAAAAAGCATTTTGAAAGTATAAAAATACGTTTTAATACCAGAAATACTTTGTAAAAAGTTCTTACCAGAAATAAATTTTTGAAAAAAAAAAAAAAATATTACCAGAAATACGTTTTTGAAAATAATATTACCAGGTATACAATTTTGAGGGGAAAATATTACCAGAAATAGATTTTTGACAAAACAAAAATATTACCAGGAAAAAAAAGTTGTCGGCATTAAATGACCCATTGAGGTTGATATACCGTAAAACAAAACAAACCAAACCATCAGGCATAAGGGGGGGGGAGTGTTACAATTTTTAGAAAAAGGCACAGATTCAATGACAAAAAAAAAAGAAAAAAAGATTACACCCTTTAAAAATTGAAAAACAGGAAAAGCTTTAAGGAAGTAAAAAAAAATTGCGCAAGGCAGAAAAGACAAAGTGCACCCACCTCAGTTCTTCAACTGAATACCCGTTAGAGACATCTCAACACGAACGTCGTTCGTGTTTTCACGGGTTGTTGTCTCAAGGGCTTTTTGTAGTACTTTGCTGGAAAGTTAAACACGAATGTTAGTTCGGTTTAAATTCTTCTTAGGAAGACACAGAAAGGAATATTCTG